TGGTTGACCACTTTACTTAATGGTGTAGGTATGGCTGTCTCAAGACCGAAGGTACTGTTTAAACCAGGTGTAACGGTCGCTCATCACACGATGTAATAGTCGTCATTTTTACATTGCCTTGTCAAGGAGACTATTAGGTTGGGTAAATGTCGATCTGGATGACATAACTGATACATAACAATACCTATTCATACACACACACATATATATGTATGTATATATATATATATATATATATATATATATATATATATATATATATATATATATATATATATATATATGTGTGTGTGTGTGAATAGGTATATATAGATATAGATATACATTTATTTCTGAATATATATATATATGTACTTATTTCATATATGCTTATATAAATAGGCACATATATATAATACATATATATATAATACAGATATATATATATATATATTATGTGTGTATAATATATTATATTTATACAAGACATACACATTATATATATATATATATATATATATATATATATATATATATATATATATATATATATCCTTATGTCCACTTGTGTTAAGTGTGATGTGAAATTTGTATTATAGAAAATATAAAAATATTAAAAACCAATTTCCATAAACGATCTAGACGTATACGCCGAAGTTGTTTTTTTTTTCTTTTACAAAATAGGGAAAGTAAAAAAAAAATGAATAAAGAATGGGTTATTTCTGTTGGAAACTTGATCAGTGAAGCAAGGGTAAAGCAATAATCGTATGGCAGGTTAAAATATAGACGAGGTGGGTAAAAAAAGAATTTACCCTATTAGTAGTAGAGTGGGACAAATTTATCTCGTGCCATTCTAAACTTTCAATTGACATGTCAATTAGGTCACGTAATTATTCCCAGACAAAAGAAAACAAAAGAGAATCTTTCTTGTTACATTCAGTTAATTCCCTGATGACTCGGCATTCGCTTTAAAATACCAAAGTAAATTAAAGATTGTTTTTTAACTAAGTGAAAACGCCTTGTTTTTTCTCTTTACCAATATTTTTTGTCGTCTATTTAAAATGTGTTATTGTTGTTTCACAGAAGTGAAATCTAAGATTCAAACACGTGCAGGGGCAAATAAATCCCTTTCAACTTAGAGAAAGAAAAACTTCGTATGTGAGTTATCCCGCGTGAGAGTTCCCCCGCGGTGGAGAAGGAAATCCGACGCTGTGGAATTCATTTTTAAAAGTCGAGATTTTAATCTGAACGAGGCGTGCCTTGCGAGATTTTTTTTTTTCTTCTTCTTGAAAGATTATTAAAGGAAACAGTAACTTAATAAACGCAGTGTGCGCAGTCGTGTAGAATAATTTTTACAAAAATAAAAACAAGAGAAAGTTTAATCTCAACAGTCAGCACACAGCATCTAATAACAAAAAAGTTGTCGTTCCTTAATAAACCCGACAGTAGATATTTTTAAACAACTGTTGTTTTTTCGAGTTGAAACTTCGCGAATTTCACTTAAAGAGTCAGAAAGGTGGAAAAGGTAGAGCTGTATCCAGGTGCACATAAGCTGAGTGGATTCAATCTGCACAAATTGGTTCAATGTGACACTTGTCACTTATGTAAAATACTTCATCACAGCAGGCAGCGGTCTGGGTTCTTTTTTTTTTTAAAGCACCCCATCTCAGCCCCTCCCCAGCCGTGTAATTTGTCTTTAGCTTTGATTTTTTAAACAATTTATAAAAATACTATTTTTTAAAACTATATTGCAAGTTCATGAAAAAAAAAAACGTTTTTAAAGGGAGATAAGCAACATTTGGTTTTTTTTTAAAAAACACAATTTATTTTCTTCATAAATCAACTTCGCGCAGGATTTTTGGTTTTCAAAAAATCAAATTTTGATGGTTGTGCAATCCCATTCTTATTGTCAATTGTGTTTAATAAGACACGTTTTTTTTTTTTTTTTACAAATACTTTCTCCTATAGTAATCATAATATGGCAAAACAAGGTAATTAAAAAGTCTAGTGACAATTTTAGCGCAATTTCCTTATGTTATCTAAAAATAGCTCTGTCGTAGCGTAAATCAAGAGCAGGGTTAGTAAAACCATTGGTTAAAATACATGTTTTATTTACAATAGAGTTACATGACTAAAAACCATTGCGCGCCTAGCTACCGAACGTGATGTCGCAGCCATTGAACGTGATGGCGCAGCTATTGAACGTGATGACGCGTGTGGTGTGGTTGGATAAAAATGCTTACTAATTCGGTCCAAATTTTAATTAATTCAAAAAAAAATTTGTGACCGAACGAAAGGATATTTTTGAAAACTTTCTTCGGCAATATTGTTCTAAATTATGGCAGGAATCGATTGGTACATGTTTCAAGTCGCTAAGTGGTCTGGTTGCCGAGATATGGGCCAAAAACTGCATTTTCTCGAGGTTTTTTGGCTTTTCCGGGAAATCCATGAAAGAAACCCGGAATTTTTATGGCCTATGTTCATCCTCGTAACTTGCTTAACATAATTGCTTTTGGAACTAGTCCTCGATATTGCTTCGTTGAGGAGGAGATACGACTTAAAGCTGCGGACACACATCCATCCATTCATTCATACATCCAGAAATGACGGGTTAATAAACGCAATTCTCCAGAATGGAAATTGCGCTAAAAATTAATATGTTTTTTCATTCTGTTTAGTAAGGGTCTACACCTATTTAATTATTAGCCAGGAATAAAGAAACAAGTTAATAAAAAGTCTAGTGACAATTTAAGCGCAATTTCCTTAATTAATTTTTTTTTAAATGTGAAAAAATGATTAGGCCTAGCGAAACAAAACCTTGTAATTATAACTCCCTATCACTCTCATATAAATTATAAATAAATTAATAGGGTACAAAAATAACGTTTGAATTAATAAGTAAAGAAAGACAACTATATTAACCTATATCAACGGAAATAGTTTTATTTTAACGAGTAGGCCTACAAGATGCTCAGTTTAAAATATCATCCTAGGCCTACACGATGCTCAGTTTAAATAATTTAAAAAAAAAAATTTGTGACCGAACGAAAGGATATTTTTGAAAACTTTCTTCGGCAATATTGTTCTAAATTATGGCAGGAATCGATTGGTAAATGTTTCAAGTCGCTAAGTGGTCTGGTTGCCGAGATATGGAGCAAAAACTGCATTTGTTCGAGTTTTTTTTGGCTTTTCCGGGAAATCCAGGAAGGAATTCCGGGAATTTTTTGGCCCACAATCATCCTTGGAACTTGCTTAACATATTTGCTTTTGGAACTAGTCATCGATATTGCTTCGTTGAGGAGGAGATACCACTTAAAGCTGCGGACACACATCCATCCATTCATTCATACATCCATTCATCCATCCAGAAATGACGAGTTAATAATCGCAATTGTCCGTATGGAAATTGCGCTAAAAACATTTTCATGGCTATTATATTAAAGTTAGTGTTTAGTACGACCGTACGAGCTAGTTACTCATACTGGCGATACAGATTCAAAGAAGCAAATCTGGATAATCATTTATCCGTTTCTGGGTAATGCCCTACTTGAAAAAACCGCCTATTCTTAAAAACTATATATAACAAAAAAAATTTATTATTAATGATATCTAGTTTAAAATATAGTAGGTGTCAACAATATTGTAATACAAGTATTTTATAATCAATTTTATAATCTAAGGGGTGTGGGCGCCAAACCTGACACGACACCTAAATGAAAACGGTTACGGGACAGTGACTAGTAAAAACGCCCCCGACTTTTCGTGGTCGTAACTTATTATAACTTGAGGGGGTGGGGGGAGGGGGGGGGGGGGTCGAAAAAATGACAGTCTTAATTAAAGTCTAGAATTACTTGTAAACATTTAGTTAGTGTTTTAGCATTTACTCTCAGTCAGTCCAATGGTTAATTCTGAATGAGAAATCTTATTGTAACGGATTCCTCAACTGTAATTAACTGTTAGTTTATGGTATGATAGAATGTGGTTTTGTTTTGCTTTAGGGCACAACAGTGGCGTAGCGAGGTCGGGTGTCACCCGGTGCGGCACTTAATGGTGTCACCACCCCCCCCCCCCAGAGGCGTAGCGACCCTTCCCGGGGACACATTTTCGATTTGCACCCCCCTCTCAAACTTTCGATTTGCACCCCCCCCTCTATATTTTTTCTATTTTTTTGCCTTGGTGTCACCCCCCTAAATGGTGTCACCCGGTGCGGTCCGCACCCCCCCCCCCCCCGCTCCACCCCCCCCCCCCCTCGCTACGCCTCTGGGGCACAATATAAGTGCACACACAGTAGGGAAATGAAGAGATGGGTGGCCCATGCATGGTGATTCCTCTATTAGCCTTGGCCAGTATAGCCCAAACGAATGCTAACATTGGGAACCAACGCTGGTTGCAGTAGCTGCCTATAGGAAACCAGAGTTGGTGATTCAACCCTCAAGGGGCTCTACTCCTGTCCAGTTCTGGAGTTTCCTAGAGGGGGGTTGCTGTTCCCAGCTTACAAACCTCGTCTACCCTGGGGTGGGGGGGGGGGGGTCGAACTGGTAAAACTACTTCCAGTTCATACAAATCTGATTTTTGTGTAGTTTTAGTTCTTGCAGATTCTTTTTAGAGTTCTAAATTTAGATTAAGGTATGTATGTTATGGACTCTGGTCCAGCAGTAGAGCTTTAATATCTGAAGATCGATTCATACACATAAGCCTGTATGATGTTCTTAAGTCCATTCAGCCCTAATGGGTACCCAGTTGGAGTTGGGGAAAGTAGAAGCAGTAGAACATACTGCTGACCACACAATCACATCAATTTTTAAGTTACAAAAACAAGAATTCTACATGATCAGCCCCATAGAACTTGGGTTAAAATAGCCTGAAAGAACCAGCATCCACACACAGTAAATTACATCATTAAACCATTTTATTTTTGAAACAATAAAAACAAATAATTTTCATTAAAAACAAAAACAGTTTAATTTACTTTCTAAAATGTGACAATAATTTATGGATTTTACTGTGCAGAATTTTATTTAATTAAATAATCAACTGCTTTTTTCAATTAATTTTATTTGAACACATTAACAGCATAAGCTTCTTAACTTCCTTGCAGTCATCCACTTCTTTATCGCTCCATTTCTTAAAATGTCAGATTGGTAGAACTGCATGTTTAATATATTTGAGGCCTGAGAAGGAATGAGAACACAGCTTGAAGTGGAAATGAAATGGGATACGCCCTTGGATGTAACCCTTTCACAATACTCAATGTTTAGAACCAGGAGACGACTCAGCTTTTCTCCAATCACTCTTAAAGCTCTGTCTGTGATATAACAATTATAGCTAATATCCAAGAACAACAACTGAGGCAAGTTCGCACATATTAAATCAACACCAATGTCTGTAATCGAAGTCGACCTCAAGCGCATGAGGATAAGGTTTTGAAATCCTCGAGATAAAAATTCTAGAGATCGATCGTTAATGGAGCTGTGAAATGAGAGTGACAGATTTTCTAGATTAGATCCGCTGTCCGCCAAAATTTCAAACACATTGTCAGGTAAACCAGCTGCCACTGCACTTAAACATTTCAATGAATTCAAAGACGAAAGACATTCTATACCAAAGCCTTCACACCCCAGAATCTGACTAATGACAAGAGTCTCCAGTGAAACGAGTGTCCCTTCTCCTATATACCTCAGTCCCACCCACGTCAAGTCTTGACAGTTTTCAATATTTAGCGTACGTAAATTTGTAAGTAGAATACACTTAATTCTCTTCACAATGTCTCCAGTGTTCACCATTTTCATGCCAGAAAGAATAGCTAGACCAAAATCAGTAATCTCAGTATTGGATATATTTAAATGCTTTAGTGATGCCATTATTGTCATCTGTTCTAGGCAGTCATCTGTTACAGACAAGCATGACTGTAGATTGAGCGATTCCAAATTAGGCATAGATACAGCAATTGCGCGAATCACTCTTTGATTAATAAACTTGTTGAAACTCAAATCAAGTGACTTTAGTTGCAAAAATTGTATATTTTCAAAGCAATGGCTAACTGTTCTTGAAGTGATTTTATGAGACTCAAATGCAAGTTTTAAATATTTCAGGTCTGGTATGTTTGAGTTTAAATTTTTTAAGTCCTGTTCCAAAAAAAGATTCCTTGCTGAACTTAAAACAACTTTTGAAATACCACGCTCGTTTAAAAGTGCAAAAAAACTTTCAGGCCATACGAATTCCTCACTTGTGTAAGTAACTTTACGCTTCTTACTCTTTTTACTGGTAGCTGTAAAACCATTAATGTTTGTATGTTTGATGTATGTACTGAAAGAATCCAATTTTACTTTAGCTACAGTTTTCTTCCACAACTTTTTAGTGTAAGCGATCTCTTTCCATAGCTTGCAAACCAGGGCGGCTGATACTCTACTACGTTCGTCAAGATAGCTGAACACCTCTGTGAGTATCTCACTTGGGATGTGGAGTATATGCATGTTTCAGAGCTGGTGTATCTACTACAACAAGTAGGCGTGGTCACTCTGAAGAAGCTACAGCATTTTCACCCAATCAGTCTGAAAAATGGGATTCATAAATATGTTATTAATTTCAACTCCAATTTTCACAATGTTGCATGATAACATTTTTATTTAGGTGGAATACAATTTTAATAAACCACATGGTAATGACTAAACAAAATTACGAAGATTTCAGTCATACTGTCTTAGTTTTTTTGCCATAATTATCAATTTATATTGTGGATTTTATATAATATAATTAAAATATGTATGTATATATAAATAAAAAGCCATTAGATATATCCCAGTAATAGGCTACTGTTGCATAGACATGACTTAGTAAAAAGTTATCACTCCCTAACCAAAAACATGGAAAAAATAGCTACAATTTTTATGCGCTTTATTTACGAGTTTTTCTACAAATTGTGGGGAACAGGGCATTCTCTCACCCCACCCCCCCCCCCGCCCAGTAAGGACATTACCCCCTCCCCCTGGACATAACTAGGTATGGCTAGGGTTAGGGCTATGGCTAGAGCTAGGGTTAGATTTAGGGTAAGGATTATTGCTATGGCTAGGGTTAGTGTTAGGGCTAGATATAGGATTTGGATTAGGTTTAGCGTTATGGTCAGGGTTAGGGCTAGGATAAGTGTTATGTTCAAGGTTAGGCTTAAACCAATGTCTAGCGTTGGTTTTGCGTTATGTTTTAGGCTGAGGTGAATGCTTAGGTTTTGGTCATTTTCTTAAGATTAGGATTAAGGTAATATAGGTATAGAATTTGAGTTAGAGTTAGGATTCTAACTTCAGGGGGGGGGGGGGGGGGGGAATTGACAGGAGAGTAATTGCTCCGGGGGGTAAATACAGGGGAAATGTCCGAGGGGTAATTGAATGGGGGGGGGGGGAATGTCCTGTAGCCAAGTTGTGTAAGCTATTTGTAATTTTGTATTTTAATCAACTAGCCACAAACAATGAAGCATTAACATAATCATGATCCAGCATCAAATTTAATAAGCAAGTTACTAACCAGCTTAAAATCTAATATTTTAAAGAGAGGTAGGCCTGCTATAATTTTATTGGCTTGTGATGGTTGATTATTACGCCAATAATTTTACAATTACTAAATAGGCCTGATAAAAAATTAGAAATAAAACATTAAATAAATATTATAATAATAACAATGATTTAACTTTATGTGCACACAAACTAAGAAATTAGGATATCAGCTATTTTGTTAGTACCTTTTTAGTTAGTATAGTAAAAAAGAATGAGTCATTCAATAAATATATTCAACTACTTAGTCACCAACACTTTTTATTTGGTTTTTGTTTTTTAAATATCGATTTTCTGAGCTTGATCAATGTTGAGTATTTTACTAATATAGGCCTAATAAAATTTATTAGGCCCACAATTTATAAAATGGCTTTTTAAAAATGCAAAATAACTGCTTAAATTCAGTTTCAGACATAACTTTTTAAAATGGAAACGTTTCGTCACACTTTAAAACCCTCTCCTTCATCACAAAATTATTAATCTTCCCATCTCCCTAGGAGTGTAATGTCATTTACATAGATCTATATAGAATATAGTATATAGTAGAGGTCTATTTACCATGATGAACATTATAATTTATACTACACTTGAGCATTGACAATTGACAGGATTTCACTGGGTTTTTTAGTTTTTTTTATAACTAGAATCTAGAACTAGAGTAGATTCTATTTTAATTTATTAGGCCCTAAACAGTAAGTTAGAGGTTAGACTTTAGAATAAGAGTTTAGTTTAGGCCTAGATCTAGCTAGACTCTAGTTTAGTTAATAGTTTATAAAGTAGTACAGTAGTAGACTAGTGTCGCAGTAAGTAACTTAGTAGTAAAGTAAACTGACAACTGAGTTTGAGTGAGTTACGGTTTTTACCTGCATTATTTATATATTTATTATTTATAGGCCTAGGCCCCTAATATTTATAATTTATAGAATTATGAGGGCCTAGACCCTGCCCTATACAATAAAATAATAGGCCTATATATTAGCTCTACTATCTAGAATTCTAGAGTATTCTAGAGGCTCAACCAGATGTCTAATCAACATAAACATAAAATATTTGAGTCTATTTCCATTGATAAAAAAACAATATTTTAGAGTTAATTTTCTTGCACACATTCCAGAATGATTTTCTAATATTGAAGAGTTCTTCATATTTTTTTTAATTATGTTTTTTTCTGCTTCTTGAAAATTATGATATTTTGGCTAGGCGAAATCAATTTTTTATTTTTAAATTATTCTTATTTTTTGTTGTTGCCGTTTTTTAAGTGATTTATTTTTTAGCAAACGCTTTGGCAATTATTAGATCTAGATTTATAGGGGCCTATCTAGTTTAAAATAAAAACCAACTATGCCTAGGGGTCATCCATAAATGACGTCACGCTTTTTTTTGACGATTTTTACCCCCCCCCCCTCCCATCCGTCACACGTCGTCACAAAAAGTCAGCCCCCCCCCCCCTAAAATGACGTCACATCTCAACCTAAAACCCTCCTCAAAATTGCAGTTGAATTTTTTTTAAACATCGATATTTTTCCAAAATCTTGTCTAAACTATTACAATTTATTAAAACAGTTATCTAAAACGCGAAATAACGTATAAAATTCGTTTTCTAACATTGCTTTATTTAAATGCAAAAATGTGACGTCGCAACATCTGAACCCCTCCTCCCCTCATCACACATCGTCAACAAAATTACGGACCCCCCCCCCCCCCCCCCCTCCGAGTGTGACGTCATTTATGGATGATAAGGATCAGTGAAGTGGGATTGAGAAGTCTTCACACCGATGTCATTGGATTTGAACAACAGCGGTATGTCGTAGTGTCCGCAACCAGGATAAACATAATAAACATGTATGTAGGCCTATATAGCGGGGTATGCGGGTTAGTAATTAGGGAGATTCCCCCCCCCCCCCCCACCCGCACCGCTTTGGACACTTAAATAACAGTTATTGTCGACTACGTCTTGTGGACGTATTCGAAGCTTTGAGTCTAGAAATTGTGAATGGCATAAATCTGCAGTTTTATTTTATAGAAGAAAAAAAAATTATATATATATATATATATATATATATATATATATATATATATATATATATATATATATATATATATATATATGTATATATATATATATATATACATATTTATATGTATATCATATATATGACTATATAAAGAATATATAGCTCATATATTTAACCTATATGTGCATATATAGTTTTATTTAAGCAATTTAAATTTATCCATAAACCAAGGCTATACATTAAACTGTATTCTAATCGAGCTTGGTTTAAAGTTCGTGATCTGTTTTCTGCAATATAAAATTATTAATCTTTGTTCCCCCCCCCCCCCCCCTCATCGGTCACCTTATTCGCCGTTAAAATTTTAAGCAATCACTTACTCGCCAAAATAGAAACAGTTCAGCATAAAAGCTAGTTTATTATGAAGACACAATCAACAAATCACCACCACTAAAGTAGAAAAATAATTGAATTGTGAATCTACCCCCCCCCCCCCCCACACACACACACACGAATAAACGATGTTAATATTTGTAACAAACATTAAAAAATATATAGCAATTTGCACCCCCCCCCCTCAAACTTTCGATTTGCACCCCCCCCCCCACCCCTTCAGACTTTCGATTTGCACCCCCCTCTCAAACTTTCGAAAAAGGGCCCCTATTTGCCTTGGGCCCCTATGCCTTGCTTACGCTAGCTTTACGGTAGCTACGCCACTGGGTAGGGGGGGGGAGTACAAAGGAAAATCTTCATACCCTTATACCCTTTAGTTTGGACTCACCAGTGGTATTAATTGGCCGCACGTGAGGGTAATTAGCACCGTTTTGTTAATTTCTTTTTTTTCTCTCTTAATTTCAGTTAATTGAATTCCCTTTCATATTTATAAATTATAAACTTTTTTTGTGTGTTCAATAAAGTTTGCTTTAAAGTTAAAATAAACTATTAACTATTGAAGTTATTTTTTTTAAAAAAATTTCTCTTAGGTAGTACGAAATGCCTACCTTCCCGCTAGGTACTATAATTTAAGATGCAACTTGTTGAAAGGATTCTTTCATGTCATTTCACACGGGCTATTTATTGAGGTCACCACATTGAGAGATTCACCGCCCCCGTCTCCGTGCCCACAACACCATCACCACCTCACCTGCGACCTACTTCAGCATTTTTCGTTATAATTCAAGTCTACCTATCTATTAGTCAACGTTAATTGGTCGCAGAGTAGTCTTCTCCTGCTTTTATGCTTAACTCCCTTGTTTAATTAGCCACATAGCTTGTACCAGCGTAATCGTGTTTTCTTGTAAAAAAAATTTCAAGCAACTTTTCTGTTCAGCAGTGTTTTGAGAGTAAGTATCATGAACACACACCTTGAGAACAGGATGAAAGGATGTATTTTATGCTCAGAGCCATAATTGTCACACATGTTGCGTTAAATGTGTATGTTCTCACCGTTAGAATCCTTTTCAAAGTCTGTGTCATGAATATCACCACGTGTCTCGCCGTTTCTGACACACACACACATACACACACACAAACACACACACACGCACACACGCACACAAACACACACACACACACAAACCACACACACATGCGCGCTCATACACACACGCGCACACACACTTTAACAAAGTCACGTTTCTAATAACAATGTTGTTGTTTTTTGCATTCATTTTTATTATTCTGCCATGTCTTAATCTCGCCCCCCTCCACCACTGCTCTGCTACCTGCAGCCCCCTCTCCCACACTATACAAACACAAACTAAACGTATACATACACAAGACCCCTCTCCAACAAACACATACAAAACACAAACAAACACAATACTGATCAGTCATCCTAACCCCCCCCCCCCCCCCCAACCCCAGAACACGCTTCTCACAAGACTGATCTGTCATCTCTAAACTCGACCCCCCAACACATACATGCATACATACACAAGACTGAACAGTCATCTGTAACCTCCCCCTCCCCCAACATACAGGTACACTAGACTGGCCTGCATCTCTTCTGTCATCTGTATAATGTACTGATTGAACTCGACCTACCCAATCTTTTCTAATTAAGAACATGATAAAAAATTACTCGT